AGATAATAAGATGGTATAGCTACCAAATAAATAGAAAACGAATTCTTCAAAATTGTAGTAGAAGAGTTTGTTTGTAATTATGCACAAAGCTACACTATGGGCTAACTGTGCTCTGCCCACTACGGGTATCGAAATCCGGTTTCTAGCGTTGTAAGTCCGCAGACATACCGCTGTGCTACTGGGGGGTTAGTAGAAGAGGGTAATATCAAATTAAAAGTCCTAGCCTGCCACTCTGTAAATTCGTTTATGTATAACTACCAATAGAACATGTCGAAATTCGACAAAATGTATAATGTTGTGATATTTCAAGCCACGGTCTAATGCCAAAGGCTTTAGAATTCATATTGGAAAGAAAATATTTATAAAACTTTCTTGTAAGCAACATTTTCAATATTTGCTCCTTCATGAACATAAATTATTAATCGACCAAATGACCGCACCCTGGGCAGAGAGAGCAACGTGAGAAAAATCTGGCTCAGCTAAGTACAACCCCGATGGACGGACATCAGTTTTCCCAAATTGTTTGTTTGTTTGAAGTTAAGCACAAAGCTAGACCATGGGCTATCTGCGCTCTGCCCACCACAGGTATCGAAACCCGGTTTCTAGCGTTGTAAGTCCGCAGACATACCGCTGTGCCACTGGGGGACCAGTTTTTCCAAATTATATTAGTTTAAGATTTAATTTACATTTATGTTAGAAAATCTTTGTTTTTTTATTATCATCATCACACTGATTTTTTTTCTTTTTAGTTTTTGCTGACCCCAAAACTTTAAGTTAAAAATTTGATGCAAAACTTTTTTTTATTTGCGATGATTGAAAAAATTTAATGAACATTTTTTCAAAATGTTATTCTTTCTTTATGATTAAGGTATAAAAATGAAAATTAGGTTTTATTGTATTTTTACTTCTGATTACAAAAAATAAGCTTATGTTAAAGTATACAGAAACGGAAGTTTGAATCTTATCAACAGATAATTGTGGAAATATATCACAGTTTAAAAACATAAACGGCATTCTTTGCATCACGCTCGTGCTTATTTTTAACGTAAAACATAGTAACTCTAATAAACCAAAGATGCATATTTTTCACACACACACACTCAGTACAACTCAATCGATAGTTACTAATACCATATCAAATATTTCTCCACTTACATGAGATGTTAAGAATCAATCTTAATGACCAATATTTACTTCGGTTGATTTTTAATAAATATAATTATGTTTGAAAATTTGACTTAAATCTGCATATATTAGTTACTGATATAGTTGTATAACGTAATTGGTATTTACATATATTAAAGTACACTGTTTTATATGTTGCCTTTTCTTTCTTCGTATTCTAAATCTCTCCTTAGTTGAATCAGTTCTAGTTTTACAGTTACAGGCTTGCTGGTTTAATCTCTGTAAATACACAAAAAGATTTAATATTGTAAGTCTTTGAATCTTTACTCTGAAAATATCAGTGGCAATTGTTAAATGTATAATACATATATTATTAATGTCCTCGTGATTATTAAATATTGTTATCACGAAATCCAAGGATGGTAATTACTTTTTCTTTTAGTGTTAAGCAAGTAAACTTAATATTTTAGATAATTCTTGATTAGTAGCCTTCAACCACCTTATTTCTCTATATGATTATGGTTCCTTCTTCTTTACTGCAGTTTTATGAACTATGTTACTACTGTTAAGGATATTTTTTATTATACTTGTCACTTACGACTAATGATTATTTATCTCTTATTGCTAACATTTACTACCCACTTGAAAATTTACAAAGATATATGTAATAGAAATCAAACTCCAGAACACACTGATCAATTTTGGCGTTATCCACCTCTTCACTAGTACAAAAGATACATGTGATAGGAATCAAACTCCAGAACACACTGGTCAATTTCGGCGTTATCCATCTCTTCACTAGTACAAAAGATACATGTGATAGGAATCAAACTCCAGAACACACTGGTCAATTTCGGCGTTATCCATCTCTTCACTAGTACAAAAGATACATGTGATAGGAATCAAATTCCAGAACACACTGATCAATTTCGGCGTTATCCATCCCTTCACTAGTACAATGATACATGTAATAGGAATCAAATTCCAGAACACCCCCACAAACCCAAAATTCAGACACTTCGAGAACAACTACTATTCTTTATCCTATCCGAATAAACAAATAACTGCGAAGAGTGACCAACCATGAATTCACTACACACTTTATATTTAGAACCTATCTTCTGCATTTTACCACCAAATAAGTAAAATATCCATGTGATCACTCCTATCCCGAGCCAATAATAAACAGTTTGCTAATATACCACTTAAAAAATGTTTAAAAACTAGATAAAATATATAGATAACACTATATTTTACAAAACAATGACTGCACGTTATCCAACATGCTTTATTAATTTTAATGATCCATACTTTTTATATATATTTTATATAATGAACACACGGTGAATGTCATGTATCGAAGAGATAAAATCGTTGCTAGGAAGAATCTTATCAAAGTTTCAAATTTAAAAATAATGGTACAAGTTATCTAACCTCAAGAACAAATAAAGTAAGTAAATCAGAAGTAGCCAGTTTCACATAACAGAAAATATAATATGAATTCTAACCAACAATTGGAAATCATACAAAGTAATACAAATCAATTATTCAATATTCAAAAAAAAATACGCTGTAAGATAATAATGGAAATATGTCGAAACTTACCATAGTTGTAACTTTGTTTCATCTGTGTTTTTTGTGTTTTTTTTAACTTCGGTGCACAATATTCTTATCGATACAAAAGATTTACTTGGAACGTTCTCTAAACTCTAGCAATCAATTACGATTAAATCCAAATATGTTACAAGATACTCTGTCTTAAACCAAAAATGAAAATGTTTTCAAAGTTTCCCAAAAAAACTTAATCCCAAAAATTCTAGATGTAAGTGTTATTAACTTTTAACAATGATTATTAGTAAGAAACGAATAGTAGTACAACGTCTCAAGTATTAAGTATGAGAGTAGATGTCTATTGTAATCCACGAACTAAGAATCAAGACAAAGTATAGATATAACAATTAGAAAAAACAAACTAATTTTCTCTTTTACCAGGACGAGAAGAATCACGTATTGACTACAAGTTGTTGGATAACTCAGGTATGTTTTATTAAATCATAATATCAATGTTATATCTTTTAGTACTTACTTTATAAACTACGTGTTAGTACCTAGTTTATAAACTACTTGTAAACATACAACTTTTCCACTGGAAATAGAGGGCATAAAGGGTAAAAAGTTAAAATGGTTTATTATTAACATGTTAATAGATATTCTTATAAATCAAAATTATAAGATGAAACCACAAACAGAAAAACTTTTTTATTTTTAGCCACTGCATAGCGACTCATGGAATAGCTCTGCGTTTTTTAAGTACAGATTTTTAGCTCATAGCTCCGTTATCTCTTGACAGACTTGAGATCTAATTACAGTTTTGGACTCGGAATGTCAAACCCTTTCGATTGATGCATTTGATCATGCCCAAGGTTTCGTACATTAATCCTGACTAAAAGAATTTCAATTTGAGGAAAGACTGGTAGAGATCCTGATGAGTAATAAAATCGAATCGGCTATACACGCGCCCCACGCTTGAAATTGCTGTCGCACAAAATCATAGCTAATAAAAAGAAAAAAGTATCATAGGTTAATTTACTCTAATCCTACCTAAAAGAGTTTCAAGTATCGCGGCTATTGGGGATTTACTATTGTTATTCCACGATATTTGTAATTTATAAGTCAAATATCAAAACGAAATTTACATGTGAAAAAAGGTGCGGCCAAAAAGGATTGAGCGTGCTACTTAAAGGAATGAAATCAATTTGGGGCATGATGGTGGGTAAACTAAAATACGCGGCCTGGCTAACTAATGATTGAATATTTGATGTAAAATTCTTATCAATACTATAAGTGTAGATACCAGTTTGGCCGCCAGTTTTGATTTCATTCCTTTAAGTCGCACGCTCAATCCTTTTTTTGGCTGCGTCTTTTTCACACCTAAGGTGTTTCTGATTAGATATGATTACTTTTTGTCAACACACACTAACAAACCACAGTAAGTAAGAAAGTGACACTCGACAGTAACTAACATTAGCTTTAGAATCGCAACCCTACTATTCGGAACAAACCTATACTTTACAGAACCAACCTGATTCTTTAAAATATATGGTGGTAGTTATTCCTCTCCAAAACAATGTTTATAAATTCCTTTATAGTAACGCCATGGAATCTAGATTAACAGTTTCTTGTCATCACCTGCATGCACTCGGTACAGCCGTATCAAGCACCATTATTTACGCTAATTGCTTAAGCTAATAGCACATGATACTAAACTCTTTAATTAAGATAATTTCATAAAATTTAGCAAATTTTGTGTTTAAAAGTTGGCAATGCATTATGAATCATGATTCATTATGATTCTTTTGAAAACTTGAGTTAGAAACTGCTAATCTAGTTTGCTTGGCCTAAACAATACTTGTGTATCTACACGTCTTTTCACCCTATAGTTTTGCTGCTGTAAATCAACCGTCTTTAATCTGAATAACAAAAAACTAACTATGATCCATTTTTACTCTAAGATGAAGCTGTAATAGAAATTTTAGACGGATAGCTCACACAACTTTTTGCATAGGCGTGGGCAAATATTTTGGTCAAATTGTGAGCGGTTTTTATTGAATAACTTTTCACATGCCTTATATTTAGACCATTAATTTACACCGAATTGTAGGTTGTAAAGATCTATCAGGATACCAAGTTTGAAAAAACTCCATAAACGTTAGATATGTTTTTATATCAAATAAAATTTTCATACTTTTAGTGCGAAGAAAAAAAAGGGAGAAAAATTCAATCAAAGCTGGAGATTTTATATCTCATGTATTTCTTAATGGATTGTCTTGAAGTTTGGTATGTGAAGTCCATTAGAGCACATCCACTGAAAATATGTGAAAATTGCTAAACTATCACTCCCGTTAATAACACACAATGTGTTCTGCAGGTTATTTTGGCTGCACGACATACTACCGTGTGTCTTGATCAGTAGTTACTATAAACGTATTAATAAGCACGCCATGTATTTCTAATTGAGCTTCTGCGCATATTGCAAAAGTATAAAAACCTCTCGAGCATTTTATAATTTCCTAGAAAATTGCATACTTTACAGGATATTTTGTGCTTTAAACAAAACATAATAACTTTAATTAACACTTTAACAGTTACAGCAGCCAACAATACTTTATTAAAACGTATAATGTCCTAAGCATAAAAAAATAATTAATACAATAATGTTGATGTTAGTTAATATTTTAGTTGTTATTTAATATACATTTTAACGCTTACTGCAAATACAATAGACTTACTTAATTCTTATTTAAGATAAAATTTTATTATCTTTATACAGAGTACACATGAGATTTTCTCACTCTTTTATGTCATCCACAAATATAAATAAGTCTTATTTTCAACCCTAATAATACATGCTTACATACCTAAGTCATATGAAAATACTTAATTTTATATGTTCGTTAGTATTGTTCATTTAGAATTGTTATATGCATCAAAATTACACAACATTAGCTATTCTTTATTAGATTATGAACCAAAAATACTTTGAAATGTGCGTATTTCTTATGTTATCTTTACAAACCTTGAACATTTAATTACAAATCACTTCTTATTCCTAAATGTGCGTATTTCTTATGTTATCGTTACAAACCTTGACATTTAATTACAAATCCCTTTTTATTCCTAAATGTGCGTATTTCTTATGTTATCGGTACAAACCTTGAACATTTAATTACAAATACCTTCTTATTCCTAAATGTGCGTATTTCTTATGTTATCTTTTGATACCTTGAACAATTAATTACAAACCACTTCTTATTCCTAAATGTGCATATTTCTTATGTTATCGTTACAAACCTTGAACATTTAATTACAAATCACTTCTTATTCCTAAATGTGCGTATTTCTTATGTTATCTTTACAAACCTTGAACATTTAATTATAAACCACTTCATATTCCTTGGTATGCTTCCTATATATTATCTGAAAATAATCATCTTTGATATGCATATGCACCTGAAAGTGTCTAGATACATCGTAATTTTTTTTAAAAGCGTGTTTTCTTAGATTACCATTTTTGAAATGTTTATTACTCAGTTTATGGTATTCAACCTATAACTCTTATTTTTTATATATTCTGTTAACCTTTGGTTAGATTCTTGTAAATTTGTCATATCGATTTTCCCAAATCTCACCAAAACCGCCCTTACATAAATACTAATTTATTTCCCCAGTCTTCCCTACTCCTTATATTAAAATCTATCATTTCTTGTATGTAGCACTGCTTTACCCACTTATATTCACCACAATTTAATAATTGCTGCTTGAATGGGTTTTACATGTGAAATACGTCACTGATAATTATTTCAAGTCAAAAAGTGACTTTTTCCTATGAACTGTTTGCGAGTGTATACGATCAAATGAAGAGAAATATTCAATATGGAACTGTTTGTAGATATATATACAACCAAATTAAGATGAATAGTAAAATAGCACTATATACTATTCATGGGCATGGCCCTGAAGAGGGAATTAGAATTAGTGTTCCAATACAGTAAATGAGGGAGGAAGTGAACTTGACCTTCCCAGGTCACGCACAACGACCAACACCGATAATGCTCAGTCGATTCAGTTTCAAATAATCAGCATGAATTTAATTAATGTATTTTAATCCTGTATTTTAATTCATATTTTCCTACTTTGCTTTTTAATTTTTCAGCACTTTCCATAATATCACCAGATTACTTTCCAACCAGTTAAATCTAAAGTGAAATGAAATTATTTGACTCATTTCGTAAGATAATTAATATGTTATTATAGGAACATTATATAACTACATCTTGTTTACTCTTATTAAAATCGGCATAGTTATTTAATCCCTTTTCAGTTTTCTATTTATAACAAATAGAAAAACTTCAGTACAAATATGTATGATTATCTTTCCAAGGTCGCTCATTTTTTTATTTCTGTTTTTCCTGTTAAAGTATGTTCTCCCTACATATCTTTTTCCCAACAATTTACAGAAAAATTATTACGTATAACATAATAATATAAACGTCCCATTAAAACAGTCAAAGAACATGAACTTATATACATATCTTACAGAAAAGATTGCTTATTGAGTATAATTTATAATATATCTTACTTTTACTTTCATCTGAAGTTTCAAGACTGGAGATGAGATATGTTTCGAGGTTTCATAACCATGAGAGTAAATACCACTGTTCGATTAGGAATAACTACGTAGCTATCATAGGCTGTTAACTGGTCGTCCGCTCTCTTATCAATAGTTCTAAAGTAGAAATGGTTAGGCTTGAGCCGAAGATGTCTTTTATTAGGTGGTTTAGCTTATGTTTTGCATAAATTTCCGTTCACGTTAAAAATATCAAATGCCACCATTATCTGTACGCTTATAATATTCAGGTGGATGGTAAATTACACTACGTTTGAAATATTGTATAATATCATAATATCATAATTCCGTATTTAATTTCTAGCTTTCATAATATTCCGGACAGTAAAATTGAGAATAACGTTTTTTCGGTCATATGCGTATACTACTCTACTATGAACCAATTAATTTGTTGATATTTAATTATTTGAATGTGATATTCATATCTCAATCCACCATTGTTGTTGGAACTAAAACTTATACACTTCTTTTTCTTTGTTTTCATCACAACTGTATCTCACACCTTCAATATTCAATTTCTTGTTTCTAAGCATTGTATTTGTATTTTATTTTTCTACCTTAGGCTTGTATGAAATAAGATTGCATAATAAAGTAGCAAATATTTTAATTTATAATCAGCTCTCTATAAATTATACAATCATTAACCTCTTTCTTTCTTTCTTTTTTTTGTTCTTTTAACATTAATTTCTTTTGTAATATTAAAGTTTTCTATGATATCAGCTTTCCATCCGCCTTCTTTCTACATCTCATCACAGGTACATATTAAACCTGAAAGTATTAAATTTGGCCCTGTACTTGTTCATATAAACCGTCTACTGTATTTCTCAGTCCTTCATCAGTCCCACTAGATTCTCTCTAATTCCGTTTTTATTTTTCAACAATCAATAATAATATCTTCTTCTTCAGTCTTATTGTCCAATATTTCCTCTGCTTTATGAAATCTTCGGAATATCCCCCCCCCCACATCTTTCAAACTAATATGTTATTCTTTACTTCATCTGTAGTTTTCACTCGTATTTTTTATGTTAGACGAATCCATTCTGCTACTTCACTAGCTTTTCTATTCAATATTATCTTTTCTTGAGTTACTTTCAACTTTTTTCTTCTACAAACAACAACCATAAGTTTACCGATACTTAATTATTTTACTGACTGGTTACATTTATACTCAAAAACTGAGATAGCTAAATAAAACACTATATGCACTCAACTCTTAAAATATCAGTAACACTGCTTGGCGACTTTGTATTTACTGCACTGAGCAAAACACGTCCACTCTCTATACTAAACTCACCTCTCATTAGTAATATAGGGTTTATTACATATTTTTAATATAATATTAATACTTCTTACAAAACAACACACTTGAGTTAATATCTTAATGCTTATTACCAGCATAATGAATTTATAACTTTTTGTACTTACTACAAACCTAATAACTTTAAAGCAATTTTAAATTTATAAAACAAAATTTAATGCTAACATTTTAGTGTTTTTACAAGCTCAACATATTTAGTACAGATTTAGATTTCGTTACAAACCTATAAACTTTACTAAATAATTAGTACTTACTATATTTCTAATGTTTTTAGAAAAGCTCAGGGCGTATTAAAAGCTTAGTGCCTTTAAAATATTTTTAGTCCTTGTTATAAAACTATGGACCGTAATGAACATTTTTAGTCTTTGCCATAAGAGTTGTAACGAATTTGTTGTTATATATTCATTTTAATATCAACGTTTGTTTAGATTAAGTTTATGTTTAGAAACATACATAACTTATACTGTTAA